TCAGAGTTAACTGAGGAACTGCGTCGATGCTTCGATTTGTTGCGCGCTGTCATTGCTACCAAACCCTCCAGGACAATCGAGATTTGGCCACATGCAGGGCCACGCTTTCTTGCAGCCTCAGATGCAGCCTTGGAAATCCCAGGCCAAGGGACAGGCGGCTTCTTGGTCGTCTGGCATGATGGCTGCCTCGAGCAGCGGGAGGCCTTTGTGTCGATCATCCCCCCAGTGGTGTACAACCTCTGGGAGCCAGGAGACACCAAGATCGCCCAACTGGAGCTGTTACAGGTTCTCTATGCGCTCTTCACCCGTCCATCGACGTTTCGTGGCCGTAGAGGACTTTGGTTCATTGATAATACAGCGGCGCTGATGGCTCTGATTCGAGGTCGTTCAGATAATGCAGATTTAGAACATATGACTCGTCTGATTCATATCACTCTTTTTGCACTCCAAGCCTGGTTTTTCTGGGAGTGGATCCCTAGCAAGGCCAACTGGTCCGACGAGATCAGTCGTGAGGGCCTCCAGGCTACATGGCACAAGCGCCATGGGTTCACCACGCATTTCGCAGTTTTCCCCTTCGAGCTGTGGTCTCTACCACTTCCTGCGTTTCTTCAGGTCGTGGAGTTTCTCTAAGTGCTTTGGGAGGAATGAAGTGCATTGGGAAAGATTCACCCTGTGTAGCCTCCTGGGTTGACAGGAGTGCGGAACAGGGAGTATGGATCTAACCAGTGCTGCTGTGTAGGAGGATACCTACACAGCTACCCAAAGCATTAATCCTGCTGGAGGCAGGTTGAGACCATACGAAGCGACAGGAAATAGGAAAAAGGATATGCGAGCGTGAACCTGGTGTGAACGAGTGTGTTTAACATCTATGCTTTACACCTCACATCTAATGTATGTATGCATCGTGTTTGGCAGGCACTGGGTGTGCATTATCATTAGGGTGAGTGTGTAAGTTGATGAATCCATTTTGGCTCAAGTCTGAGCCAAACTGGCTTCATCATTCTTCTTTTCCCTCCCTTCCCTCCCTATGAGATAGGACTCCTGTGGAGTATCCTCTCTTGTAGGGGATCACATCATTGCGGATGTTGATCTCTACGTGTCGTTGCACGACTGAGCACTAGGTGGGAAAGATTCACCCTGTGTAGCCTCCTGGGTTGACAGGAGTGCGGAACAGGGAGTATGGATCTAACCAGTGCTGCTGTGTAGGAGGATACCTACACAGCTACCCAAAGCATTAATCCTGCTGGAGGCAGGTTGAGACCAGACGAAGCGACAGGAAATAGGAAAAAGGATATGCGGGCGTGAACCTGGTGTGAACGAGTGTGTTTAACATCTATGCTTTACACCTCACATCTAATGTAAACCTTGCAGAATTTGATGAGCACCATGAGCATCTTGAAGAAATTGACGAACACCATGGAAACATCGGTGAAACATTGAGCAAATCAATGAACATCATTGAAAAATCGATAGAACAGAGGAAAACTCGATGAAGCATCAGGGAAACCATGGAGCAATCAATAAACATCCATGAAGACCATGGAACCATTGGTAAACACCCTGGATGAGAACGATAACGAAATCGATGGGGACCTTGCAAAACTTGATGACAACCATGGAAAAGTCATTGAAAATCAATGAACACCATTGAAACATCATTGACAACCACGGGAGAAATTGATGAGGACCTTTGAAAGATCGATGACAATCATTGAGAAACGAAGGTTACCGTTGCTAGATTGGAATATTAAGAAATCATTTAAAGAACAAATGAATCAATAGCAAAAATATGCAGGCGTTTCACATCCCCAGAGAACACAATGACACCGGTGCCTAGTGCACTTTGGTGGCAAGGGGCTAGCTCAATTGTGTCAATGCACGTTCATGATCAAAAGTTACAATGTGTTTAAGGTTACGCTTTGTATAAGTGCTGCACGGGTCCGCATAGTTCTGCATAGGTTTGCTTCTGCATAGTTCTGCATAAGTTCTGCATAGTTATGCAGATTTTTTTTGTTTTTTCAGTTTTTTGTTTTTTTTCTGCATAGTTCTGCATAGTTCTGCGCAAGTTCTGCATAGAATTCAAATCCTATGCAGCTTATGGCAAGACCTTATGCAGCATATAACACTGCATAATACTTAGCTAAGTATTGGAAATTCTGCATAAAACTGCATACTATGCAGCTATGGCAAAACCCTTATGCAGAACTTATGCAGAACTATGCAGAACTATGCAGACATATGCAGAAAAAACAAAAAAAACAGAAACAAAAACTGCATAACTATGCAGAACTATGCAGAACTTAGGCAGAACTATGCAGAACTATGCCGAACTTATGCGTACCTTTGGCGTATGGTGTTCCAAAGTTTCACTTTGCGCCAAAATCAAACTACAACCGGCATGTTGTAAAGCGGTAGAGTTTCTTGGAGGTTTTTTGTTTTTTCTTGCTGTTCAGCCTGGCTATCCTGATTTAAAAACACAAATGATCTACAGAAAAGAAGCTGAACAAATTTCATCACACAGCTCACCTGTTGAATCTTTTCACCAACTATAATTATATCGATTTGATTTACGAGTTCTACAGCCATTTCATGCCTGAGAGAAGTTTAATTCTGAGCTTGTTTGCATGAAATGCGGGAGGAGTTGGCACCTTTTTTCAATAAGTGTCCTTCCTAACTATTCCTATCTTGAGCTTTGAAAACAGTATTTCGGGACACTGGTTTAAATTTGCGTTCCAGCTGTATCTTCCTGACTTTTGTCTCCCAACCATTGCATGACGGTTACTTGTGGGTTTACAAGCATGTTTGTGAGAGGCATTGAACCCTTCAACAAGTGTCCTAACTAGCCTTTTTTTTATGGCCTAAAAATTGTATTTCAGGACACTTGTTGAATCTGTTCTCCAACTAATCAATCAATCAATCAATCAATCTATCTATCTATGTATACTTGATTTGCTTTCAGGAATGTCAGAGTTGTCACATACAATATGTCAAAGTAGCCACAAGTTACAGTGCATGAATTCCACAAGTGAACCGCTGGGGAAACATAGTCATGGTTCAATCAACCTCCATGCAGTTGCTCAAGTTCAATATCAGAATGTAATTGAAGAAACCCTTCGATAACATCCCATCAAACTATATCCGCCCAACACGGTTGCGCCTCAACCTACATTCTGCATGTTCACCAGGTGCATGTTGTGCAAAATGTACAAACAGACTTTAAAAAAACAACCTGCAAACATTACATATGAATATATTTATTGCCATTCTGCTTAGGTGGGAGGCATTTTGCCCTCCCCCCAATCTCCCCCTTCCGCTGCGTGTTTTTTTTAAAATTCAAATCCAAACTTGCACACTTGTAACTAGACTATTCTACATGTTGTAATGTTTAAATCAAAAAAGCATGTATCCCTCAATAAACCCTAATCCGACCACAAGCCACCCCCAAACGAACTTTAAATAGCCCCTAACTAACCCTAACTAAACATAAACCCTAAACCAACCCCAAATAAATCCTCATCCGACGCTATGATAACATCCAATGAAACTATCTGCGCCCAACATGGTTGTGCCTCAACCTTCAGCCTGCATGTTCACCAGGTGCATGTTGTGCATAATGTACACACTGAGTACAATATTCAACCTACAGCATTACATATGAGAATAGATATTGTTGTTCTGCTTAGGTGGGAGGCGTTGCGCCCTCCCCCAAATCGCCCCCTTTTGCGTTCTATTCAAATCCAAGCTTGCACGCCTTGCACACTTGCAACTAGACTACTCTCTCTCTCTCTCTCTCTGTCTCTCTCTCCCTCCGTATACATACACACACACACATATATATATATTATGTATTTATTTATAGGCTCCAAACCATTGAGCACATGAAAATCAATGAAAATTATTGCAACAAACCCGTGCAAAATCGATAAACAATGAAAACATAAATAAAAACACTGGAAACATCGATGAACACCCAGCACAAACTCAATGAACACCGTTGAAAAATAACTGCGAACCATAGAAATATAAAGGAAACCCATGAGAAATCAATGAACACCATGGACAAATAGAATGAACACCCATGAGCACCATGGAACCATTGATGAAAAACATGGATAGTTGTGATGAACATTATAGGAAAAAACAATGAACACCTCGGAGAAATTGATGAAAACCATTGGAAATCAATGAACATCATGGAGAAATCACTGAACACCATGGAAAAATATATTGAACAAACGAACCGCCAGCAGAAAATCGATGAACACTTTGCAGAAATTGATGAAACAAGGGAAACATCAACGAACATGAATGAACCCATGGAAGACCATGAAGAAATTGATGGACACCTTGGAGAAATCACTGAAAACAATGGAAAATAAATGAAAACCATGGAGAAGTTGATGAATGCCTTTGGAAATCGATGAAAACGACTGAGAAATGAACGATTTCATTTTCCAGACTGGAAAAAAAAACACAGCACCCTTTTGTAAATGTATCATTTCCCGTGAATTTCAAACCATTCAAACTGCTTGGTTGGGATTGACGCTGCGCCGTAGAAAATAGAACTCAGAAAATAGAACTCAGGGTTGAGACAAGGTGGGCCTGGGAATCAGGATCACTGAGGCAGGTAGGTTCAGCAAAAAACATATTTGAGATGTCATAGTACAAAAAACATGGGCCGATTTCCCTTCAATGATGCTGGATGACCTCTGGGAGGTTAAGTTTTTTTCCGCATAGCACGAGTCCGTTCCCAAGAGGTGGAAAGGTAGGTCTATTAAAAAAACTACTTGGTTGTCATAGTACAGAGAAAAAAAGTTGAATTCCTCTCACTGATGCCGTTTGACTTCCGGGAAGTTAAGTTGTATATTTATAGCACCAATCCGCCCCCAAATGGCTTGGACGAATTTCTGTAATGTGCACCAGTGCGCATGGATTGTGCATGCAGGTATACCATGTATGCTTGCACACAACGTATTCAGCCTCAAACTCTTTCAATTCAGGACATCCGGGTGAGAAAGCGACGTCGGCGGTATCGAGATGATACGGCAGAGTCACACACGGTTCGAGACTTAATTACAATGGATTCGGGACAGCAGGTGGCATCTTTGGGATGCATATGGTCCAGTTTCCAAACTTGCTAAACGGCACTACGCAGAATTTCTGCCGGCACAGGAACGACGCCGTTCCAGCCGGCTTCAAAGCCCCTTTGAAGACTCCGAGGCTGTTGTTGTGCTTGAATTCGGTCTGTATTGGTCCGACGAGTTCCGATGCATCATGCTGCAGCACTGCTCACATGGCCCAGGAACAATGGAACTCCGTCACTGAAGACTTTTAGCTGCGCACTATGTGATGTGATCACTGACCTTGCTCACAAGCAGCAGTTGGGTTCAGAGATTCATGGCGTGGAGGGCAAAGCTCCCACGTTAAATGTCAAAATCATAGCGGAAAAATGCAATTAGGTGTCCAAATTCCAAAGCATGGGTTTTCCATAGATTGCATAGAGATCACTGTTGATGGTAGCCGATAGCCTTCAGGTGAAGTTGGTGAAAGCCTCCAACCTTCCGCGGGAGGCAAGGATTTTTGTCCCGATGAATGACCAAAGTTTCAGCTGCAATCAGCCGCAGAATCTTTTTAGATTCACCAAGGACCTCTATATGCTGAAAGGCTCCTCAGATCCTTTGGTAGAGGCGGCACCAAAACCACCCAACACATCCCAAGACCATCTACGATCAAAGTCCACAAGTCCAGAAGGAGTTGAGCCCAGGGTCTGACATGCTTGAGTATGGTCGGCTGCCAAGCCTACGCTGGCCACATTTTCAGGTAGTCGCATATTCTGACAGCTTTTGCTTCCGACAAAGGAGCACTACCAAAGTCAGGAGAGCCCACACCGATTCGATAGATACGAATGGCAGAAAGATGGTTGGGTTTAGAATGTTGCAAAGTGTGCCTAGATGCGCCTAGAAAAATAACTATGCTCGAACACAAAGCAGCCGTGGCAGCCGTGGCAGTCTTTTTTTTGAGCACTCAGTTCTGCCCAAGTCAACACCAGAGCCACGGAATGCCATGCCCCAGGACGTTGAATCCGTCCTGGTCAGAAGTTTTTGAACTACCAGTGGCCAGGCATGGTGGGCCAATGCGGGCCAGTGGTGTCTCCTTTCCTTTCACAGGGTTCAACAAAATTTGAATACATAACTTTCGTTGTTATCTTACATAAAAACTTATATCATCTGTTTTTGATATTATTTGATTTGAATTCACCAATTGATGCCATGCAAAGTCTTCGAGAGTTGGCCCCTTTGCAGACTTGGCAGATAGCCATTTCAGATACCAAATTAGCTTACTTGGCACGTAGTTTATAAAATTTTATAAACATTTTTCCCGAATGCGTACCAAGGGTTCCCGTTTCACTCTGGGGGTCTGGGGGTTGAGGGTGTGTTCGCTCGACGTTGCTCAACCGTTCGCAACCGTTCGCAACCGTTCGCAACCGTCCGTGTGATTGCTATCTGGCCGTGCCTATGGTAAGTTCTGCAGAAGGGGTCGTTTTTGGAGGTTTCAAACGTCGCGTTGCTTCGTTTCGTGTGGCAGGCGTGGCACTTCGTATTTTGTAACTGTGAAAACAATGTAAATACATACCCTGGTCGGTGGATGGGAGGCACAGAGCCGCTGGGACGTCTAGCCTTTTTTGGCTTCAGCGATGGTATCCCCGGGTAAGTAAAAAGGGTGCGGTTGCACATTTCATGGACGTCCGCTGTCTTTAACTGGCAGCGGGGCTTTGGTTCGATCCAGGGACGACATTGATTGAGGGCAATCAGTGCAGTGGGAACTTGGTGAAGGCTTGGGCCTTTGGTTGGGGGCATCATCGCTGATGAGCTCGTACTATGGTGGTGGATGGGCTGTCTACGAAGTGGAAGTGGACGAGGCCTTGGAGCAGGAAGTGCCGCAGGAGACTAGTCATGCTTGGTCTCATAGTGCGGCTACTTGGAGAAGCCCATCGAGTGATCCGTGGGTACGAGCTGGAGGACGAGATCGAGGTCATCAAGCTGAGGTTTTTGAAATGGCGTCCAACGCCTCTTCGAGTGACTCATGGTGGCAGGGCCAGACGTGGTCGAGCGACTCTTGGGGTGGATCCTCAGGAGAGGGCCGGGCGAATTGGGTCTATGTGAGTCACTCTGGGAATAGAGGTTGGGGGTCTTCAGATCCTTGGCATTGGTGGCATCGAGATGATGATCGAGGTGACCGTGGAGTTCCTCAGGGAGGCCGTGAAGGTGGTGCGGATCTTAGAGAAAGAGACGCTGCAGACCATCCCCATTCTGTAGAATCTGATGGCGATGATCACGGAAAAGGGGATCTACCTTCTGGGCGGGTCATGTGTGTCCATGAGAAACAGGACAAGGAAGAAGAGAAACGCTCCATGGGGAAACTCTCCAGCAGCTATCCCCCTGTCTTCAAGGCCAAACAAGGGGAAAGCTACCGTGACTGGAAAAGAGCTGTCAAGTTTTGGTTGCGTGGCGAAGGACATCAACTTCCTCATCACCTTGTCGGTCCTCGAGTGATGGTTCAGTTGAGAGAACGTGCAGCTCAGCTGGTGAAGCATCTGGAGCCTGAGGACGTGGATGGCAAGAATGGTCTGGAACTCATTTTTCAGACTTTAGAGCAGAGTCCCTTGGTGCGCCAGAGTGAAAAGCATCGGGTGGATTGGCATAGGAAGAGATTGTTGAACCTGAATAGGTTGCCTGGTGAAAGTTTGGAGAGTTATATCACCAGAGCCGGCTTGTATCGCAGTCAACTTGAAGGATTGGATCAGTCTTTGAGCATGGGAGAAAGGTTTTTTGTGGGTCATTTGTTGGATCATGCCAAGTTGACCCGAAGAGACAAGGCCATGATCAAGACTCATGCAGGTGACGAGACCGAGACATCTATCACAGGTGCGATGATGGAGCTGGCCGGCGAGCTTGAAGGAGAAGCAGGCTATCCAATTGGACAAGCTGAAGGGCAACTTGGTGGAGCTCAAGGTGAAGAACATTTGGTTCAGCGCAACTTTTTGGGCATGAGGTTCAACAAAAAGGACAAGCAGATCCTAGCAGCAGAGCTTCAGGAAGATGATGAGGCGTCGATCTCCCTTGAAGGGATTCCTGAAGAAGGTCCAGGTGATGAGAGCTTGGACGACATGGAAAACATGCCCAATGACATCCTTCATGCAGAGCACGAGGCACTGGCTTTGCAGTACAAGGCGCGACAAAAGATGGCTGAGGTGCGCAAGATTCGGAATTTCTACGAAAGGGATGGAGAGTCCAAGAAGTCTCGCACCGGCAAGTGCTTTGTGTGCGACGAGCCTGGGCATTTTGCCAAGGACTGCCCGAAGGTCAAATTGGCCATGGAGAAGGGCAACCAGGTTTTGGTGACTTCGACTCCGTCCAAGGGAAAGCCTTTAGACGAAGAGGACGAATGGTCACTTTTAGCTTCCTTGTGCAAGGACACCATCCAGTCGGCAGCTTCCGAGCGTGCGGCATATATGGTGTTGGGTCCGACGGGTCAAGGGGAGACATCACCCAATCAATCATCACAGGGTCATCACACCAACAATTTGCCTTTTGAAACATGGTGGAGCATGAAAGAGTTGGCTCGAAAAGTTATTTTGGATCTGGGTTGCATGAGGAATGTGGTTGGAGTTGAGTGGGCAAACGATGTCATTTTGGAGTGGAAGAGACATGGTCGTTGGTTGAAGGTTTTGCCAGAGGAGGAGGTTTTCAGATTTGGAGATGGCAATACATTGAAGAGCAAATTTCGATTGCAATTGGAATCAACATTTGGCGGCAAAAGGGTTTTATTAGCTTTTAGTGTTGTTCCTGGTCCTTGTCCTCCTCTTCTTTCCAAGCAATCACATACTGCCTTGGGGGTTCAGTTGGACACCGAAAAGCACACCTTGACTTCTCGAAGACTCAACGTGAAACAGTATGGTTTGAGTGAGAACAATGCAGGTCACTATACCATGAGGATAGATGAATTTGCACAGTTGGATGACATGGATGAGAATGAGCGTCAAGGTTGGAACATGGAAAGTCATGCAGAAGTTGCGATGTTTGATGAACTTTGTGAACGTGAAGCTTTTGGCTCATCAGTGGATCAAACCCGGATCAACGACCATTTGGCGTCGGATGTCCTCGGTGCCGCCGGGCAGTCCAACTCCGTGCCGACTATGTGGCAACATGGGTCACCGGACCTCTCAATGTCCGGAGATGTCAGACCCCGAGGAAACGAGCTCTGTTTGGGAAGTGACGGCATTGACGGAGGAGAACCTCAAGCAGAAGCAGATGGAGGAGAGCATTCACCTGGAGGCCGGACGAGAAAAGGGCAGAAAAGAGCCGCCTCGCCGGATGGAGGTGGACGGGACAGAGACCGAGAAGCACGTGAAGGGCAAAGGAAAAGGGCCACAGAGCCGTGCAGCAGCAGCCATGGCTCCACCTCCGAAGGCGATCTCGCTTTCAAAGCCAGCGCCGCGCCAAGCAGCGAGGGGATCCCTGGAAGACTTGCCCCCGGTGGAGTTGGAGGACATCCCAGTCGAGGAGATCAAGGGCCTGACGATGGAGGAGCTCCAGATGATTTACAAGCGTCGTCAGAAGGGTGCAGCGGCGATGAAGAAGAAAGCGGAGACAGCCGCGCTGACTGGATGCGGGGCCAAGTATCCCTCGCTGAGCAACGTCTGGAGCGACGACTTGGCATTCAACATCATGGCCAGCATGGGGAGCCGGATGCGCACCTATCTGTGGAAGAAGTTGGTGTGGCAGCTTCGAGTGCGAGAAGCGGTGAGGGAGGAATCCAAGGGCAAGGCCAAGTGGAAGAGGAATGTCAAGTGGCTCAACTATCTCCTGAGCTACGAGGTGGCGTCGCTGTGGGGACACTTCGGGTCGATGAGACAACGCCTGAGGAGCAGCGACTTTGTGGGCCCGAGGTATGGGGACGAGCCAATCCCCAACGAGGACTGATGCAAAAGCTGAAGAATGGCATGCAGGCATCTCGGAGGATTCATGCCCTGATGGCCATGGTGCACCGTATCAAGGACAAGTACACGGTGATGGAGATCTTTGCGGGCCACGGCATCTTGACGGAGGTGGCTACTTTGAGAGCTGGGTGGTCTGCATTGGCGCCGGTGGACTTGATCTACGGGCAAGACCTGAGGAATGCTCACACTAGAGCTCAAGTGATGGACGAGATCAGGACGAAGAAGCTTGACTTGGTGACCTTGAGCCCGAGATGCGGTCCATGGAGCCAATTCCAAAGACTGAATCCCAATTTGGATCAGATCATGATGGACCGGCAAGTGGACATTCCATTGTGGAGGTTCGTGCGAGAAGTGTGGGACGAACAAACCAAAAATGGCAGGTTGGTGATGACCGAAAATCCGTGGCAGTCAGAAGCTTTGCACCTGGACTTCATGGAGGCGCGCCCACAGCTGCATCGTGCCAAGGTTCCTCAGTGTGCCTTCGGTTTGAGGGACGTCATCAATGAGAAGCCCCACCAGAAGTACACCGCCTTGGACAGCAATGACTACTACATGTGCGAGGGCCTGATGATGGGAGCAGTGTGTGCCCATGAACCTGGAGAGCATCAACCCATAGAAGGGAGTGTTTTCTATGAAGGCCGTTCACAGAGGAGATCGGCTCTAGCCGCCAGATGGCCTGTGGAACTTTGTGAGCACATCTTGGAGGCGGCAGAGTATGCATGGGAGAAATGCGAAAAAGAGGCACCTCGCAAATTGGCTGAAGGCCGACCTCCGGCGGCATTGCGCTATGCTTTGTGGGTGGAACCTCTACCCACGCCAGAGGGCGAACTTCGAAGGCAATTGGAAAAGGCCGACTGGAGGGGAGGTCAGTATGACTACGTGTTCTTCGAGGGCAACTCCAGGCAAGGACCTTACAAGGTGAGACAAGCTCTTGCCCATTTGCATGTGGTGTTGGGCCATCCATCGGCTGACAGACTGAAGAGGATGCTGCAGATCAGTGGCTGCAGCCAATTGGTGCTGAAGACCGCCGAGGGCCTCAAATGTCAGATCTGCCAGGCGGTGAGACCTCCAGGCGCTGAACCCAAGGTGTCAGGACAAAGACCGACGAGGTTTGGTGAGAAGGTGCTGTCGGATAGCTTCTACGTCTGGGACATGGACAATGAGCGCTTCAGTGTGACTCACCT